CCCCCCCCCAAAAGGGCCGGGGGATACCCAGACTGGGTCTGATCTGGCCGCGTTGCCAGCCGGGGCACCCTCCAGCTGCGTGGGACAACGACTCCCATCATCCCCACCCAGCTGGGAGGGTGGCAGTGGCGCCCTTGGGTTTTTTTTTGGGGGGGGGGGGGGGTTAAATCTGGCTCCAGGCCCGAATTCAGCACCCCAGACAGGTCGTAAATCGGTTGCATTGAATGAGCCCTCCCCCTTCCTCCCCCCTCCCTTCCCCAGGAAGAAAACATTCAATTTTGGTTATTTTACATAAATATTCTGCTTATTTTCAATTATACACTATATATCTTATACTATACACTATCTATGTTCGTGGGTGTGTATATATATAAATATAGTAAACGTATGTGTGTATCTATCTATATATGTATGTATATGTATAGTAAATACATATATAGTAAATGTATGTATGTGTAAATGTACGTGACCTACAGTATGTGACCTACAGTAAATGTATGTGTGTGTATATTATATGTATGTGTGTGTGTATATATACACACACACACATAGTATATACTATGCTATATATAATAGTATAGTAATAGTATTTTGTGTGTGTCTGTGTATACATACATGCATACATACACACACACACACACTAATACTATACATATAAAAACAAACTTTATAGGTTATTTTTCTCCTAGGGGGAAATGGGAATTTTAGCCCTTGGGTGTATGGAAGCTTCTTCAGAAAAACCCAATTAACCTAATCAGGGAAGAGGTTGGACCTTTTGTTCTCAAGTTAACACTTCTGGGAATTTGGGGGTAAGGTTGAGCCCCCGGGGGTTTCTCTCTGTCTTCTGACTCTCTTGCTTCACCTTCCTGGTAGTTCTGGTGATCTGCCTGCACGACAAACAGGTAGTCCTCGACTTACGACCACAATGGAGCCCTGTTGCTTAGTGGGCCATTTCTTAAATGAATTTTGCCCCATTTTACAATCTTCCTTGCCACCGTTGGTAAGTGAATCACTGCAGTTGTTACTTTAGTAACATGATTGTTAAGGGACTCGGCCTTCCCCATTGACTTTGCTTGTGAGAAGGTAGCAAAAGGGATTACGTGACCTTGGGAAACACCCCAACCGTCACAAATATGAGTCAGCTGCCAAGCATCTCAATATTGATCACGTGACTATGGAGATGCTACAGTGGTTGTGTGAAAAACACTCATAAGTCCCTTTTTTCAGTAATGTTGAACGGTCACTAAATTGAACTGTTTTAAGTCAAGGACTATACCTATAACTCACCTGCTTTCATGATACGAAAGGCAACAGCTTACCTATCATGATGGTGCTTGGCTAACCCTGGGAACTATTACGACCCACCTGTGAAACGAGCCACGGTGTGTAACATCCTAGTAGGAAATTCTCTGTAATGTTGAGAAGTGAGAATAAGTGCTAATATTTATTCGTACAGTGCATTTTATCCGTGGAGGCATTTAGCTGCAAAAGGGCCGTTGGGTCCATTTTTATTTATTAAGGTCTTGGTGCGATCGCTTTACGCTGCACAAATTATTACAATATTTGGTATAAGGTAAGAACTGATCAGTTTCAGGAAGGCCAGTTTATGTGTATGTTTGCAGACATCCTTCTGGGAGTATCGGGAAAGGGTGAAGCTGTTAATTTGGGGCGTCAGCTATTTGAAAATTTTCATATGCAAACAAGATTGTTTTTAGACTGCGTGGCTGCAGAGAAGCTTGAGAAGTTTGGACCAATGCTTTGCAAAATCCTCAGATCCCACTAGCAGAATGCTCGGACTTGAGGAAGGAGTTCCAGCGCTCGACTCCTCCGTCTCTCTGAAGAGAAATGAGAGATCGGCTTCAAAAGCCGCAGCAGTAAATTGGGAAGAAGTTCCTACGGTTCTTAACATCCCCAATAGAGTGAAATGACAATCAGACAAAAATCCAAGTTTTAGAAATGCGGTTTATATAATGGTTATTCATCACTTAATATCCCCAGGCGTTGTTTTTCACGTGACAGCTATTTGGAAAGCATCCGTAAAGCGTTTTTCATTATATTTGTATAGGATATTTTGGGTCATTTCCACCCCGTGCTTATCTTTCCATCGCTAAAATGAGCAGAATCCACGATGAAATTGGCATACCTGCTCTTTTTATCAAACGTTTTACCATAGATTGTAAAATATGTGCATAATATTTTTGTGGCTTATTCTGCAAATAGGAGGTTAACATGGGAAACTGCTGGGAGAGTTGATTGGATAACCCATTACCTGCATAAATCGGATTTATTTTTAACATTTCCTTTGCTAACATTCAGATTTCATTGGTGATTTTGCCTATTAATTTGGCTTGAGATGTTTCCTTTTTCTGTTGCTTTCTTTTAATTTAACACTGTTCATGTCTCACCCCTATTTTTTTCCATCCCATCTCCACCCACGCTGCCCCACATCCTTTGCTCTTGTCTGCAATCAACCTCTTCATCCCATAAGGCTGGGCACAGAGTAAGTTGGTTCATCTTGGCCTCTTGCTGGCAGTGGTGGTAGGTGATAACTCTTTTAGCAGCTTTCAGGGTAGCAGCATTTAAAGGACGGTGTCTGGCCAATGGCTGCTGAGGTCAAAAGCTTTGCCTTGTTTCAATCACCTTGCTGTAACTCAAATGCTGGTGTCTTCCAGCATTTCCAACACATCTGGAGGGCACCATGTTGGCTGGGGAATTCTGGGAGTTGAAGTCCATAGAGCTTAACGTTGCCATGGGTGAGAAACACCGCCCTACATCCATAAGGCAGAATGTCTTCTCCCTCAATAAAATCAACCATAGAGCCATGTGATTGGCAGGTGTCATTTTGTAAATTCAGAAAGTGGGCAGTTGGCAACCTGTCCAGTAGTGGCACAGCCAACCAGCAAGATACGCTGGTGGCCTTTGGTGTAAAAGGCATCTATTTAAAACGAAATACTTCAAAGGACGGGATATTTTTGCCCCGTGAAAAAGTAGCTCTGAATAATCCCTGCAATGGTCAACTTGCAATTGTCTCACATTTTACGGCCTGTTCATTCAAATGGTTGTACATAGGGAAAAGTCTGCCTATATTTTTCAAAATTCAAAGAATTTTAAGAAACAATTTGGATTGAGTCATTATTTTTACTTTCCTCCAGTCTAATGTGTCATGATTTTATCTGCAGTGAATCCAAGTTACTTATGGTTGGTTTGTTTTTTTTAAAAAAATAATAATACACAATTGCAACGGGATTTGCAAATCTTCTAGAAGTTATCAGGTTTGCCTCGATTTGAGGGGCATTTCTTTCTCTCCAGTGCTGGAAAGCTGGTTGGTGCATTGCTAGAAACTTAACCACTTCTTCTTTCTTGTCCTAAGTTGGTGTTAGTTCTGGGCGACCTTAATATTCCTCACCGCTGTAACAGCCTGCCGGCTAAATTCAAAAAATTGCTGGTTCCGGGCAAAATCCAGCACATTCTTTGCACCGGGAACCTCTGCACGAAGGAGAGCTATGACTACCTCAAGACCTTGGCTGGCGACGTTCATGTTGTGAGAGGAGATTTTGATGAGGTAACGACATTTGACAAGGCTGCTGCAAACTGGGATTTCTGTCTGGGTATTTTATCAGCCTGTTCTGTTATCCCTGAGGGCTGAATTAATTCTCTGTAAATAATTTATTGACCCTGCAGGCCTGTTTATGGAGATTTGTGTTGTTGTTCTATTATCACTTATTGTCTTAATTTTCTCCACCTTGGCCACTTGAAAATGTGTAGACTTCAACTCCTAATGCTGGCTGGGGAATTCTGGGAGTTGAAGTCCACACCTTTTCAAGTATTAAGGTTGAGAAATGTTGCCTTCCGTGGACCAAACCAGCTAACCAATTCCACCTGAAAACTTATTTTATTGCGATTGAATTGCGTAATAGAATTGTGCCAATCTGCCAATCCCGATGTTTTGTTGCCAATTTGCTCTGTTTTTGGTACTTCAGTGATTTAGGGATGTATCTGCCTGAGCCACATCCAAATACTATCTTACTTCCCTGAGAACTTAAGAAATCATTCCCTTTTGTCCAGCTAATGGTGTCTAAAATATTGCCATCATGTTCATCTTCCTCATATCTTGATTCAGCCACTTTGTTACAAGGGACAGTGCCTGAAGATTCTTCCCCCTTCCCCCCCCCGCCAAAAAAAGAGAGAAGAGGACATTTTCCTCTGCAAGGGTTGAAAGAGGATGACGCCCAAAGTCTCTTCCACTTGTCTCGTTTTCACGCTCTGCCTTCAATCCTAGAACCTGAACTATCCCGAACAGAAAGTGGTCACTGTGGGGCAGTTCAAGATCGGGCTGATCCACGGCCATCAAGTCATTCCCTGGGGCGACGTGGCCAGCCTCGCTCTCCTCCAGAGGCAGTTTGACGTCGACATCCTGATTTCAGGCCACACGCACAAATTCGAGGCGTTTGAACACGAAAACAAGTTCTACATTAACCCAGGGTCAGCCACGGGGGCCTACAGTGCTTTGGAAAAGTAAGTTAGACTTTTATTATGGGTAGACAGGCAGGGCTGTTGCTGGTTCACACCGGTTCATGCAAAGCGGTAGTTAAGATTCTGTGCAGTTCAGCGAACTGGAAAATCCCACCACTGGTTGGCCCCGTGCCTACTCGTTTTTCAGCCTGTTTTCGGCCTAAAAAAACAGCCCGGGCCGAATCCTCCTACCTCTGCCTTTGAGGCGAGTGGCCAAGAGACGGGGCAGGGTATGAGTGACATCACCCACCCAGCCCCATGACCAACCGCCCACATCTACCCAGCCAGAGAACCGGTGAAGTTATTCAAATCCCACCCCTCTGTGTAGACTCCCCACCCACCCAAACCTCAACTCCTGACACCGTCAGCAAAATAACGGGTTGTTTTCGGTTCCTTTCCCAGCAACATCATTCCTTCCTTTGTGCTGATGGACATCCAGGCCTCCACAGTTGTCACCTACGTCTATCAGCTGATTGGCGACGACGTCAAAGTGGAAAGAATCGAGTACAAGAAATGCTGAAAGCAAGTGGGCCTCCCCTAACTCGTTCCAACCCTTTTTTGCAATCTGTACCCAACAGTCCGTAGCGTTTGCAGCCTTGTGAGTTGACAAGGCGGCTTCTCTTAGCTTGTCGTAGGCAACTAAGTTTACGGCCCTTGACTTCTGACATCTGCCTTGGTTTAATTTGGTTTTTTTTTTCTCCTTTGGGCCCTCAAAATGGCTCCTGCTTGTAAATACTACTCAACGTGCGCAGCAGAATTCTACCTGTTCATGTGAACTGTTGTATAATAAAGATGTTATTCAACTTCAATTTGATCAAGATTATTAAGATTATTTATGGCAGTGGTTCAGATATGTTGGTCTTCGGCTTGCTTCATCTCCGAGCCACTTAATGGCCCCGGAGAGCATTAATTTAAATCAGGGGTCCCCAAACTTGGCAACTTTAAGACTTGTGGACTTCAACTTCCAGCATTCTGGGGAGTTAAAGTCCACAAGTCTTTAAAAAGTTGCCAAGTTTGGAGACCTCTGATTTAAAGTGTGTAAAAGAGATTTGTGCCTTAAATGTCAACGAAGAAGCTAGCAGGAGAGCCACGTCTTCACAGATTTATTGATTTGTATTTACTTCTTAAAACACAGAGATTCTTTGCATCTCTCCTTCTATGAGAACTTTCAGTCATTTATTATATGGGACTACCCAAGGGATACAGAGTGAGTTTGCCAGATACATTTTGTATAAACACCCATGAAATGTGGAAAGCGTGTTTCCTGGGATAAAATTGGCATATGTACACAGAGAGAAATGACACGTTGGTCATGTTCGTCTTCAGTAGAATTGAGACTAACATCTTAAGTTTTGTATATCCAGATGATGAGGTGATCAAGAAATACCATCTTCTTTGGGGAATTTACAGCAGAGTTGGCTCCAGCTCACTCAAGTACATCTGGAAGGAGATTAATAAAATGCCCAGGGTAAGATCCAGGGATCAGATAAAGACAAGTTTCTCTTAAAACCACGTTATATTTATGATATATTGTTAGTCCTTGGCTTACGACCACAATTGAGCCTAACATTGCTGTTGCTAAGCGAGACATTAGTTCAGGGAGCTTTGCCCCACTTGTTACGACATTTCTTGCCTATAGTTATTAAGTGAGTCACTGCAAGTGTTTAGTAACCCCAGTTGTTAAGTGAGCCTGGCTTCTCCCTGGATTTTGCTTGTCAGACAGTTGCAAAAGGGGATCACCCAGAATGTTGCAGCCATCATAAGTACCCGCCAATTGTTTGAATTTTGATCACATGACCATGGGAACGCAACCATTGTAAGTGTGAAAAATGGTCACATTTCTCAGGCTTGTGGCAACATGGCAGCATCGGATCTCAAGATGGCTTCCAAAGCTGACAGGTGCTTTTGGCAGAAAAAACAGGTTAGCACCATTTCACTCCCGAATAAGCCTTTCAAGCCGATTTAAAACACAAAACCAAGTACCTTCACCACCTCGGAAGCCGTCTGCTTTGACGGAAGAGACGTTTCCGGCTTCTGAAGATATTCTGTTATTAGAGAGGCTGCATCCTCCACCCTGCAGAGCCACAAAAGGAGCATTTTGCAAGACACACATTGCAGAGAAGAGACCTCTGTTTTCCCTTAAAAGTATGGGAAAGCTGAGCTTCCCAGAAAAATTTCCCCAGGCAATTGTGAATTCGTTCGGCACCTGCTATATTATAAGGGGAAGGCAGGAAGAGGAAGTTGTCAGGTGAGGCTCCAGTGAGACTCCAAGAAAGAAAACCTTAAGACTCCATGGTTCTAGAGGAAAGGACTTTTCCTGGAAATCCAAGTGGTAGCATCAAACGAATTCAAGATCTGAGGCATTAGGCGTGAAAATCGTCATGGCAGCGTTCCCACCCAAAAAAAGTCATGGCAGCGTTCCCACCCACAATAGTTCAAACTGGCCATCCAATCTGAGATGTGTGTAATGTCATGTGAGGCATCTTCAGCTGGTGTTTCAGACATCTGGCTGGCCAGGACAGTTGACCGTGGCCTGAATAGATAAGAAGCCACAGCTGCCCCATAAGCAAGTAAGAAAGTTTTCCCGAGTTTTACAGTTTGCCTCTCAGGCCTCCAGCACTCTTCCCCACCCCACAAAGCCCAATTAGTCTTCCCTCCCTCCTCCCCGTTTCTATGGCAGCCGGAAAGACAAGCAGAAGAAGGATTCTTGAAGACTGACAGGTGCTGTGTCTGCTTCCCTGGATTCCTGATAGAAAGGTGTGATATAAATACGATTTAAAAAAGCCTTCATCTTCTGAAGGAATACCAAATCAGAGCCATCAATGTAGGAAACGCCCCTCTCTTTGCTTACCTGTTCTTCGCTACCAATTTTTCCACCAGGCCTTTCACTTGGCCAGGATGCCTTTCTCGTAGCCTTAATAAGGGGAAATATTTGACCTCTGCCAAGTCCTCCTTGGCCTGGTGTAGGATGTGGTCCAGGATGGAACTCCTCACCTACAAAACGGGGGGAAGGTTACTCCGGAAGACAAGCAGGTCAACTTTGCCAGGTTGTCTTTTAAACCCCTCCCCCCTTTGCCTACCTGTGAAGCCACGCCAGCTGCCTCGCCCAGGCTCAGGTGCTCCTCCGTCTGCTGCAGCACCTGCTCGAGATCCGATGAGGACAGAAAGGCCTGTCCAGAGGGGGGGAAACAGAGTCACTTCTCTTCGAACACGCGCGTGAAATGCTTCGGATCTCGTCACGCGAAGAGGGGGCCACGATTGTGGGAGTGGCGACCGTCGCACAATCGGGAGGGGCGCCGGGTGTGGGAAGGCAGGCGCCTTCGCTCACCTGGATCTGCTGGGCTCTTTTCTCCCATTGAGGAATCAGCACCAGGCATCCTAAAGCCAAACCCGTCAGGTCCAACTGGGCGAATCGCTTTGCGATCCCAGTTAAATCCAGATCCGCCAAGACGGGACACCTGGTTGGAGGCGGGAAAGAGTTATGTTAGCCGCAAAAAAAAACAAAAATCAACTCACCAAAGAACCGGATTTATGAGCCTAAAACCCAGGTTCTTTTGGTGTTTGCTTTCTGCTGTTTTGCCTTGTAGCATGTTTTCCAGGGAGAGACCCAACATGGGAGGCCAAGGGGTGGAGAAGATATACATACATACATTGTAGGGTTTCCTGCCTAGGGAGGGAATTGGACTCCAAGGTCTCTTCCAACTCTGTTATTCTCGTCTCTCTCTCTCTTTATCTATTTTTATATCTTTCTATCTATCTATCTATCTATCTATCTATCTATCTATCTATCTATCTATCTATCGCTGTCTGTCTGTCTGTCTGTCTAGCATCTCTACCTCTCTCCACTTCTATCTATCCATCCATCCAACAATATCTATCTATCTATCTATCTATCTATCTATCTATCTATCTATCTATCTATCTATCTATCTATCTTATCTGAGTTGGCTGACCAAGAACAGCTTCTCTTTTTATTACTGATAAAAAAAACCTGATTTCTCCCCACCCTTATAGTAAAAAAAATGATTGCGGTGAAACCAACCATCCCACCATCTCATCCGACCTAAGGAGCCGCTCTTCCCACTTCCAATTACTACAAATATTTTTATATTTTGGCGTCCCGGTCTCTCTCTCTCTCTCACACACACACGACCCTCCCCAGAATGTTCCTCCGCTTACATCAGAAGCATCTTGAAACTCTTGCGGCAGGCTTCTAGCTGGTCGAGATTGGGTGGACCTAAAGCTTTTTTTTTAAAGAAAAAAGACACATAAAGAGAAAACATTTCTGCAGGTGAGAATTCACTCCACTCTAAGAGGTCGCTGAATTGGTGCCATCGCTTCTGAAGCCTGGTTTTCCATATGATGGAAAATAGCCAAAAAATCCGAAACACTCACCAGAAAGAACTGGGCCCAGAATGACACTCTGCCAGGCTCGGCTGTAATTTGAGATCTGCAGAACGTTAAAAAGCATCTTAAAATTCCAGAGAGAATGAAACTCAAGCAATCAGTGGATGGTGAAACATGAAAACCCTTTTCTGTTGGCAAATTTATGATTTATTTCATTAACGTAAGAAATTTAAAAGACTATGTGCTTAACACGGTAGAAATTTACGCACCGGCCATAAGGAATAAATGCCAGAGATCTCCACTAAAACTCTCCTCAAATAATGGACCTGAAATGCGATAGAGTAAAACACATGAATAGTATCTTATGGAGCACAATGACAACAACCTGAGTTGTTTTGCTCTTTACATAATAGTTGGGCTGATAGGCAAGAGTGGACAAGTCAAAAATTAACCGAGGTTTGATTGCCACAATCCTACAGGCAAATCTCCCCAACTTGCAATCAGTAAAAGAACTTGGTGCTGATAAGTTTTTGCAGTTTAGAAATAACACAGTGCAAAAAAAGAAAAAGAAAAGAAAACTGGATTAAGACAGAAAAGGAGAATGTTCTTAGCGTTAGAAGGGTCTCAGAAATAACTTACAATAACTAGCGAATAGTTCTAAGGGAGAAAATGCTGATTACTTTTAACCTTTCTCGGCTAAGCAGATGACAAGACACTCTGTAAATAACCTTTTTCCTAAAAAAAACCCACCCATGTCCACTTAATGGGTTTTTTTTTAAATTTCCCCCCCTCTAAACCAGAATTAAGCAAACGTAACTAACAATCTTTGCAGGCATAGATACAGCTTGCTTTTTTTTTTTCATTTTGTAGTCCTAAACAGTACTCGATATTTCTCAGTGCTCCATAATTCATCACGCAGAAAAAGGCCGGGCCTTACCATTTTGAAGCCCATGAGCTTCTGCAGCAGACCGTTCCAGAGCAGAGGATCATGTACTTTGTAATCCAAGGAAAGCTGAGCCACCAGTTTCACTGCCTGAAAGTGGAAGTTTTTGTGGGAAAGTGCAGGGTCGAATGCCCGTTCTGCAACCTCTTGTTTCTCAACAGTAGCCAGTTTCACAGCCCGGTAGACTTCCAACTCCCAGCATTCCCCAGCCGGCATCACCTTGGGTTCGTGGCTGTGGTTCTTCCATAGCCCTTTAATCATGCCCTCCTTCGACGTCCTGTGGAAGGACTCGTAGGTGTAAGGAATGTTCAAAGCTTCCAGCTGTGCCAGGTAAACGAAGCATTTCAGGAAGTTCCTGTTAGGAAGCAGAAAAACGGAACGTGGCAGATACGGTGAGCGTGGTTTATGAGAGACTCTTACCTTAGCCCAGGGGTCCCCAAACCTGGCAACTTTTAAGACTTGTGGACTTCAACTCCCAGAATTCCTATGCTGGCTGGACGATTCTGGGAGTTAAAGTTG